AATTTCATCATATCAAGTCGAGTATGAACTCGATTAAAAGCTTCAATTGGTCCTTGTGGATCATCAGGTGCACTATATGCAAGATAAGCTGCATTTTCATCATAATCAATAATTAAATTTAATGTATTGCCTGTTTTTAATAAACTAGTTATATTTCGAATGATACTTGTTGCATCAAGATGACCATAATGATCAATTAATAAACTAGCAAAACATGGATGATTTGATGGTTGTGGATGTGGGTCCCAATAGATAACATCTTCTAATATTGGATGATTTGATGTATTATACATATCTTTCCATGAATAAACATTAAATTCTTTTGCACTATATTCAATACCAAGAAATCCAATATTACTAATTGAAGCATTTCGATGAAATTCTCCAAGACCAAGATGAACTGAACAAGTTCGTTTTATATTAATAAGCATAGTTAAAGCAGTATCAAGTGAATTTGAAAATTGAATTACATCTCGAAGAACATATGTCCATGGATTACCAAAACGTGACGTTATATCTTGTTCGGTTGTAATCCAAACTTTTTGTCCTAACCCAATTGAAACTTCACTATATGCGCCAATTGATCCAATAAGACCAGGATAACCAAAATTAGCAAAAACATGTGATGTTGTATATTTTTGTTTATAATAATCATGAAAATGATTAGCATAACCTTCATAAGATGCATTTGGATGATAGATAGTTACTGTTGCATATTTAGCTATTGGTGCTTTTTCATCCCAATCTAATGAACGAAGATGAAGTAATGTTGATGATATGGTAGATTCACCCCATGCACCTAATACACTGCATGCAGCTTTGGTTAATTCTGGAATTAGATTAAGTCGACGAATATCTTCATATGATATACCACTACCAGCAGCAAGACCTTGAAGTTCTTCATTATACCAAGGTGGTGTATATTTACGAGTAATATCATAATTAAGATCAAGAGCACCACGTAAACCAAATTCTACAATCCATTTTGCAATAAACTATTCAAACAAAAAATATTCATATTATTGAAATAAAAAAATAATCATATTCATCTTTACCGGTGGTAATTGCTTAATCAAATCTTCTATCATATTTTCTAAATAAGTAAAATATTCTGGAACAATTTGTTTAAGATCTTCACTCATTAATTGGCCAAATGCATATCCCATATCATATGGTGTACCACCATAAACATGAACAATATTTATTTTATCATAACCTTGTCCAACAATAAAACGTTTTCCATTAGGTACAGAATTAACAAAACGTGGTTCTTCACGTAAGATTTCATTTGTATTTAATTTACCTTTACAACTAGGATCTACTAAAGTAACCGGACAAATTACTGTGAAAAAACAGAACCATACTATATGTTTATTTCTCATTGTTATTATTATGATCATTTGTAAATCGAACAAAAAACAAAGAACAAATATTTTAACAGATGGTTTATTCTCAAGTTTATATCTTTGTCAATACTATTCTTTTTTATTCAATTTTCTAAATAAATGATTACAAGAAAAATACAACTAATCATTATTGAAACTCTTAATGCAGTTGTTGAAAGGTGATTCCAGTTCAGATTATAGATAAAAGTCTTATTTAGATCCACATCTCGTATTCAAGAGATTCGATAAGTATACAGATAAAACTTGATCTAGGAAACTATTAACATAGAAAAATATCTAGAAGGTTGGTTTTTTTATTCATCAGAAAATATCTCTCAACATTTGTTATGAAATTAATTTTATATGGAGATTGTCAAATTCTCAACGCTATTAAAGATTCCTATCTCACAAAAGACCAAGTAAACGGATTTTTCAATAGAATATAAGATGAAAGAAATTCTGCAATATCGGTTTTCAAATATTGAAGATAATAATGAAATTTGAGAAAAAATTAATTATTCAGTTTAATTTATTGAATGAGTAACTTCTTTTATGGGATCAAGATATTTGCACATACGACTATAGTTGGGTAAAGATTGTCACTAGGTGATATAAATGGTGGCAAGGGATTGCATGATTAAAAGACGGACATCTTGAACAGAATATGTCTACAGTACTATATTACTCAAAAGAAGAAGAACGTCAAATGCTAGACTTTCAAGAATATATTCATTTGATTATTCCAATTGCATACATTCGAAAAAAAAATCAGTCGTATTTATACTCTTGCAATTTTTCACTGACAATTAATCATATAAAATCAAACACTGTAATTCAATGCTTTTTTGTTCGACATCCGATGATAGTTCTTGTTCATTTATAAAAGCCGAGTGAAAAGCGAACTGAGCTACATTCGGTTCACTGTCGAACGTTTTGAACATAAACATTTGATCAGAGCGCATATGGCTTTTGAGATATAGTACATGCTGTAGGTGTATTCACAGAATCTCCAGTCATGAGCGGATGAATATTTTTTTTTGAGATCAATCGAAAGAAAGTCGCAAAATGCTAATGGCCTATCGGTTATTCGATGTGGACCCATTGGTAGTCAGACGTTGATCACTTGATATCGATGTTGCATAGCTCATGTCGCTTGCTCGTCACCAAGTATTTGCTACATTTTTTTTTCGGACTTCATCTGAGTTGAGGTGGACGTGAGGAAAAAATAGAGCATTCTTATGATCCACATCGCATTGTGCCACAGTACGAGGGATGCCTCGGTTGCAAAATGCATCATAATAGGAAATTACTTGCGAAACATGTAAATTTTCTTTTAGAAGAGTAGTGATCTGTTGATAATATGTTTGCTGAACATCGTTTCCTTCATCGAATTCTTTTTGTATGCAACCATCATATTTGAATACTTCAAACCCGTTGGTATCAAGTTTCATAGTATTTTCCTTGCCTCGTAAATCATCAATGATGACGGTAGCAGATACTTGTAGAAAATTAGTTGTTGACCAAGGTGTGTTCTTTGAAGGCAGAAGTCGAGGTAGACACTCATCGATAGTGTGAGTGAAATAACTTATTTTTGCAGTCATATCGCTCATCATGATAATTCAGTATCTAATTTGTTATTGAGTTTTACAAAGAATCTATTTATGCAGACAAAACAATTGTAAAATGCAAGAGTATACGAAAAGAAAACTTTCTTGATAAGAAAAACCAAAAATCAAAAACAGATAAACAAAATTTTGTTCTTTTGTATTCCTTTTTATGGAGCAAGTCATCTGGAATATTTGATTATTTCAGTACATGTGAAGTTTCTGATGTTGTCTTTCGTATTGTTTCGAACTAACACATGAAAGAATGCATGTATCAAACAAAAGATATCTTTATTTATCAAAGTCGATTTTCGATTACCAATTACCCGTGATATCATAATGGAAAAAGTCTCATCCCTTCGAGTCACAGTCATCGATCTGGAAAGATTCATAGTAGATATTCTTTCTTCTCGCTTTGAATAAAAATTAGAATGTAAATTCTTCAAAACATTTTTATATACATTCCAAATATGATCTTCTGCTTCTATTTGACTAATAGATTGAATTAAGAAATCCAATGAAATTAATATTTCGTTTTTATATCGAAATCTTTCACATTTTGAAAAAATATATTCGTTTGTGAATTTCACTTCAGAAATACTTCATAATCATCACGATCATCAATATTATACTGAAACATATAGTCGAAGAAGCAAAGCAATTCTGTACATAGAAAGCATCTAAGAGATAAAATCTGAGATGAACTATTTTAACCAATAGATTAATGCATATTTCGAAACAGATGTAAATCGAATAGACCTTTACCAAGCTAATCAACTATGCTTTTTTCGAGAGAAAAATATCGCGTGCTCATCGACTTCCTAGATATGCAATTGGATGAAACTTATAGCTTGAATATTTAAAATCTCAAAAATAAAACATGGATATTATTCAACTGTTGATGTACATGAAACATATTAACAATCAATGAATACAAAACCGAAATTTTATTCGTGAATTTGAGTTCACAAAGACGTAAATTCTCAATTCTCTATCGTTTTAAATAACTGCAATCTACACCTAGTTTTAGTTTCTGTTTACAGAAAATTTTATTTGTATCAGCGATTCGATGAGTCATTATAGTAAATAGCAACATACATCGATCATATCTTGATTATAACGTGTACAGCCACATCCATGAGACAAAGTCATCATAGGCAAGTTCGAGCGAATGAACGAATCACAATAAATACTATGAATTAATGCCGTATGATAGAAAGACTAAAGAACACGAACAACAACGATGGATTTTATATTTTATCTATTATGGCAAATTTTAGTGAGCACGAGTCAATTCATCATTGCCAAATGTAGCATACTTCATAAAAATACGAATTCACGGGCAATATCTAACTAAATAGGTCATACTATTTCCTACATCCATGATTATTAGAAAAATTTTTAAAATAAGAATCGATACTTTGAATCAATGGTTTCGTTTCTAATAGATAGTGACAACCATCATAAAATGCATAGATCAATATACTGGATTTCATTGAGAATATTTACGCTAAGAAAATTTCTATCGGGATACATGGAAAGATATTCAACTACTGAATCAATCGTTGTATTTTTTCATCGTATCTCGAATGATTTGTAATATCTTGAATTAGTTTTTGTTATTCTTTATGACTTATTAAAAAAACCGATCTTAAAATAGTAAATAGATTAAAAAGAACTATCTTTAAAAAAAATTCAAAGAAATTACTTTCATCAAAAATAATCATCATAGAACGACGGCATTATATCGAAAACTAGAAATTAGTCGGCAGATCAATGACATCTATTCAAAGAATTCTCTATGAATCATCCGCATTTTATTAGACAATAGAAACTTTTCAAAGGGTAGACGAAGAAAATTCAATCGTCTACTATTGAATGCATTTTCTTATCGTTTCTGTGTACAAAAAAAAGAAAATAACTATATGATGTGTTAGTTCATTCAAGTGCATATATAGACTCGTCGGTGTTTATTCGTAGTCAATTTCATCGTTATTCACTTATCGTAAACATGCAAGTGCAAGAGAACGACATACATCAAAATTCGAATTGGATTAAAAAACGAAAATTGGACAATGTAGATCTCTTTTCATATTTATATTCAAAAAGAATCTATTCAAATAAGTGAGATAGATATACATATCTATTTAATATCATAAGAGAAGAAAAAAAATTAACGTTTTGTTTTTTTAATTTAGGTGTCGTTTTGAAGATCTAGCCAATGAACTTTTTTATGAAATATTTGAATATCTTGATCTTTATGATATTTATCGAGGATTTTTCAATTTAAATCAACGATTTCAAAATTTAATTATCAATTCAAATTTTCCAAATCAAATCAACATTTCCACAATGTCAAAATCAAAATTTGAATATTATCATAAAAATATTCTTCTACCAAATAAACATCGAATTTATCTAATTCGTTTATCGATTCCATTTATGAGTGAACTTATTTTCTCGTCTGCATATACAATTTTGCGATTTATTCATCTCCAAACATTAATAATTGATCATATTGAAATGAAAGATTTTATTAAACTTTCTAATCATTTAGCGCATTTACGTGAATTACATTCATTAATTATTTCTCTTGCTGATCATATACAATCATTAAATGTTCTATTTTCTTCGATTTTTCAATTAAAGAAATTAAAATATTGTAAAATTGAATATACAATTAAAGATAATCAAAATTCAATATCGTTTGATTTGACTCGTCGTGTTTTTAGTCCTATTCAATATTTAATCATCAATGGTCAATTTTCATTTAATAGTCTTAATAATTTATTATCTTGTCTTCCTGAACTTCATCATATATCTATTCAATCTCTTATGAATTCGAATGATAATATAAAAATCGACGATCTATCTTATTATATTCAGTTACGATATTTAAAATATGTTTCATTTAAAATTAATTCGATCGATTTTAATAAATTTGAAAATATTATCAAACAATTTTTTGATTATGTTGAAATTTTACGTTTGACAATGAACAGTGATGAAGAATATTTAAATGCTAAACGATGGCAACAATTAATCGTATCACATATGCCATATTTACGTATATTTGATATGAAATATCAAGGTTCGATTGGAAATAAATATGATGTTATCAAACAATTCAGTTCATCGTTTTGGACTGAAAAAAAATGGTTTTTTACACATGAACATGATTGGAAATCAACAATGGATAGAGGAGTTTTCTATTCGACTATTCCATATCAGTAAGTAGAAATTCATCTATGATGAATATGTAATGAGATCAAAATCGAATTTTGTGTCTTTTTGATAGAAAAAGAAAAACTTTTATTATATAATTCTATTTCGATGATTAGAGATTTTCATTTCCTGTTGTGATGCGTTATTTATGAACGTACAATACGAGGTTTCTCATGATTCGAACGAAAAATAAGTCTTCGTGTGAAACAAAATTTCTTAATTGTTCTCTATCGAAACGAAATAGAATTCGATATTTGTCTTCTAGCTTTTTTTTTCCAATTCATATTTGCTTTCTTTTAGAAGAAAAGACTATACATATTATTCTGTATCGGATGAACAACTTTGTTCACATAATCAAGAAGAAAACTTTAATTCAGTTAATCATCTATATATTTGTAGTAAAATAAAAGATCATTGTTTGAAATATTTTCCCAATGTTAATCAATTGACATTTACATTATCCTTCAACGATTGGAACGATTCGACTGTAAGAAATCTCAATTGTATGATTCCATTGGAACAACTTACGAAAATAATTTTTGAACCGTATCGTATACCATTGGAAGATATTATGCGATTATTATATTTTACATCTAATTTACATACATTACAATTTGATACATTTGGTTTTCATCACAATAATTTAGATATAGTTCGACAAAATTATGCTTTTGAATATGCATCCAAGAGAAATAAAATAAAATTTTTAATTCTTCGTGGTCGATGTTCATTACATGAACTTGAATTCATTGTTAATCTATTTCCACAATTGAAATATCTCGAAACCGGAATGAATAGAATAGAAATAAAACAAATAATTCGGTTTTTATTATCAAAAACACATAATAAAACACAACATTTATTCTATTTATGTATTGTAAATACACCAAAAGTATGCGTAAAAGAAATCAATGTAATGATGAAATCAGAAAATTTACTTAAAAATTATTCTATTAAGTATATTAATTATAATTTATATTTATGGTGGTGAACATTTAGTTATTTAGGACATACTTTACTTTGCTTGCTTTTTTTTTGTTTTCTTTTTGTATCTAATAATGATTACTTTTTAAGAAATAAATCAGAAATCGAACTTACAAAATAAATTTATACTTTTTAATATAGCTTAGCAAATATTTTCCATAAGAATACAGGTGTCCAAGAATTTCATTTTATAATTACAATTGATATATATCCGCATATCTAAGAAAGAAACTTAAATTATGATCGATAACAATGGCAAAATATGAAGAAATGAAAGATCTGATTCGAAATGAGAAAGTTTTATTATCAAATTATTTCATACAGAACATATCTAAAAAAAAAACATTCCCCGAAAAGTCTCTATTAATGTACAGCACTATGTAGTGTTGCCTGGATTTTCAAACTTTAATCACTGATTGCTGGAATAAAAATCTCGGCGGAGTTTTGTTTGGTATAATCATCATACTTCGATGTATGTGGATCTTCGCTCTAGGTCAAAGACATACAGTGGGAAACTGCCGGAAATGGCATATTTTGGATCCAGGTTCCTGCTGGTTTCTCATTGGATGGAATAGCCTCTTCGCAGGCAATCCATGTATGTCACAAGTGACTTTCTACTGCATGTGCTCAACTAAAATTCATAGATTCCTCTTAGTTTTACTTTAGTGTCATTTATTTTAAAGGATGAATATAAGTAAATACTTTATGTTTAAAAGTAAAACTACAATAAAGAATAAACAAACATGTTCTTGTATGACAGATAAATAGGCGTATATTCGGCATCACAACAGAATATGTTAATCAATGTGTTATTGGATCACAACATCAATTCTTCAGGTGGAATTAAAAAATATAGCTCATATAGGAAAAGTAGATGCAAAAAACTTCTCTGTATATTTCATCTCCATTTTTATAGTATCTTAAGTTTTTGAAGACTATCTGATACAAATTAGAAACTAGATTCTTATAAAAACAAGTGACGTGTTGCTTCCATGAGTCTTGCTTAACTCAATCCTTATTAAATATTTTCTTAAATGACAGTGAAATAAAATTTAAAAAAAAATATGACGAAAGCATAGTCATCAAGCAGCACTAAAATCTATTTCCTTTTCAATAATGTAGAGTTTGTAATTCATTTGCACGTACAAAGCAATTATGTAGATTAGTAGTCGGTACTTGTGTCGGACAACATTTGAATATAATTGTCAGTCCAAAACTTTTCATAATACAAATATTTTGCGCAAAACTTATTCAAATGGAAAAAAAAGCTTATTAGCACAACCTCATTGGGCCTAAAATGTGGAACTCACACAGGTCTCCCAGCCTTATCAAATTCATGTAAAATATTTGACTTTGAAAGTTTCTTATCGACTAGTTCTTTGCCAATTCATAAATCCCCTGAACAAGGATCTTTCTCATTTCTTAATTTCCAAAAGATATTTTATTTTTCTCCGAATTCTCTATGCTTCTGCGTTTCGTTTACTGTGAATTATCATGACTAGATCACTTTTTAACTTTGCTCTCAATCTTCTACTAGAAACTTCAGCAATGATGGCGAAATAGTATCCGTCATTTTACGAAAACGAAAACGAATAATATTTATTAAAATTATATCAATTTATCTGAGTGTGGGAGAGAATCAGTTATACCAACACCCACACCTTTTGTGAAATTTATTTTATTTTTCATAGAACATTTTAGATCAATTTATACTAATATTAATATGTAATAGAATTTTTTTTTCAATCATGTGCGCATATTTTTATCGATTTTTTAATGTCATGCTTCATTGTCAGTCATTCGTGATATCACACTAAAATAAGTACCAGCCAAATCAAACATTTTTTTTTGACAATTTTAATAACTTGTATTTTCTAGCTTGTAAACCATCACATAATTCAATAGAAAAGAAGTTATTGAAATGATAACCATTTTTTTTTCAACCTTACTTTAAAAACGTATTCAACGAAATATGTTTAAAATCGTGAAAAATAAATTTTTTAGTGTAAAAGAAAAACTAAAGTACTTAATATTGTTATCATCGTATGACGAGAGTGACGAAATTTTTTGTTAATTCGAATCAGTTATAAACAGTATGAAGAAGATTTTAGTTAACAACTAATGAAGACTGTTAGTATTTATCTATGTAATAGTTATTAAATGAATATATACAATATGCAGCTTTCAACGCATATATTTGTAATAAGATCTTCTATGTTAATGACAAACAATATTATCTTCATCAAGAATGATTTTATGAGTTAATTTGACTGTAAAACTGCATCGATTTATAGCTACCACCTGCTCTTCTTAAAGTCTAAGAATTTTTTTAATTAAAAAGAACCCAATTAAATGACATACAGTAAAAGATCACTCTGGAAATTTTGTGTGTGGAAGCATCATCGAACACCCAAAGTCTTCTATTGCAATGAGAATTTTAGAACATTTGATTGATAACATCAAAATTTAATTCGATCGGGTTCAGATCTGTAAAAGTTGGATCCGATAGGCTCTACTGGATATACATAAAAGTTTTGCAAGATTTTCTATTTTGCACATATCACTGCTAAGACAAAAGATCAAAGTTCGAATTTATTTTTCAATATGGTAGGTTGCATATAGAGTACAATCCTTACTAGTGAATACATCCTTATAGTGAATAGTGAACGTATTTTTGTGGTCCCTTTTGCTCAAATAAGCTCTCTAATGTAAACATGTTTTTATTTTTGATCTCTCACTCTTCTCTATCATTTCTTTCTTATAAACTATGAGTAAGTACATTTTATGTATGATTCTATAACTGTACATATGAATGTTCCACTTGGTTCTGTATCGAATATTTTGAAGCGTAAAACAGAATATTTGAATGATTATGAAAAAAAAAAACAGAAATCAAAGAGCTAAACGAAAATTAAAAGAAAGCAATGCAAAAAACAAAAAATAGTTCAAAAGCAAATAGAGAAAACGATACTAAAGGATTTATTTAAAAGCAATGAAACTTTTTGTTGTAATTGAAACATCTTTTCATTGAAAACAAATAGATGAACAAAAGAATAAAGAAACACGCCTCCATCTAGAGTGTGAGTATGTGCAAGTATGTTATAGTCTATAAACTGCATGATATTATCAGTAACACGCCCAAACCCACATACAGACGATTAAAAGTAACTTATGAAGAATCAAAAGCAATGAAAACAAACCACGTCAAACAATGAGTAAAAAATAGCACAAGTCATGAACAATAATCACCACGAACCGAACCACCTTTCTATGTGAGCAGAATATGCAGACTATAGACGGACAAATTCTTTGAAATATGTAGAACAGAATAGAGTTGTACAAAAATAGTGCTACGGAAGAGAAAGCTTATGCATGCTGTCTATTCTCAGGAAATGAGCATGTTACTATTTCGTTGTAAAACAAACTGTTTAAGTGTTCAGTTAATCAGTTCAAAGTTTTCCAAAACTTAAAATGAAAATAACACTTTACTAGTTACACCAAAACTCGTATAAATTATCAATCTTCTAGAAATACAACATGACATAAAAAATGTAATGCTAATTTCATTAATAAATATATCTCTTGAGGCATGTTATTTTTTCTCATGAAAACAAGTAGATTTTTACAATGTTTTATATGTTATTACTTTTTTTAAATTTTGAAATCGTACTCAAAAAGAAAATCAAAGCAAGACTTTTCACAAAGTTATAATTGAAGAGTTTCTTAATAATTCATTTATTATCATTTCTTTATAGATGTTATTTGGCATGTCTAACATATGTAAAGTTTTCAAGCATAGCTTGTTTCAGTTTAATTTTTTAATTGTTAACAAATTAAATAATTTTGTCTATAATTTGCTGAATTCGCAGATGGATCACTGATGATGATTCGACATCGAGCAGATTCATACATAAAACGTATACTACCACCCTAACCTAAATAAATTCCAAATAACTGAGTACATACCTTCAAGAGTTTTAAAAGATTTACGTAGATTTCATTTCCTCATGCACAGTTAATCTTGATGTCCTGTGTTAGATGTGAATCAAAGAAAGTCTGGAAGTTTCGCTGTTGTAACATGGCTTTTTTTGTCACTCAAACCAAATTATTCCGTATGTGATTTAAATTTTATCGACTTTTTTTTTGTTGGAGAAAAGATGATTTGGTCAAAACTATTTTTGCTGTTAGAGCACTAAGTACACGAGTGAGCCCATAATTTAAAAGAGCAGATAGCTGTTGAACTCACCAGTGGGAACATATGTTCCTAGTCTTAATAGATTAAATATTAATCGATAGGTCATGAAATCCATTCCAAATATGGTCAGTATAGATATGAAAACTTGATCCGGCTCATTTTCAGGTGTAGATATGACTTCGTTGCCTGTTCTAAGATCATCTAGCCGTCTTGAAGTGTGTAAATCACCAATCAAAGATGCATGAATTCGAGCTATGAATTGTGCATTTCTTACCTTATTCGCTGTTGGAAGAACCGCTTGATATACTTTCAGAGCATTAAATCGATTCAATTCTGAAAAAGATAGTAGTGTTTCTTGTAGTAACGAATTAGTTTCTACACTAGAGAGACTTGCTTTTCAAAAGGCTTTAGACCGATTGGTGGCACACGATATTTACATATTTCAGATAATTCAATATGAAATTCGCTTTGTGTCAGTTTTGAAATTTCATCTCTGATGAGTTATGCTAAAGTTCTTTGTTTATATCAACACGGCGAATAAATTCTTCCGAATATTCATGAATTGATATATTACTATTTCTCAATGCTGCCAGTCCAGTTCTATGTAATATGATATCGGCTACTATTGTATTTTCTTTGCCACTAAAACCATCGCCAGAAACCCCTTTGATGTTGAAAATGCGAGCTGTAATGTATCATTATCATAAGGATTCGTTTTCTGTTTGTCGCACCATTCACGCCATAAGTTCACAACTAGTTCTCCTCGGTGGTAAGCAGCTAAAGAGATAGCTAAATCAAGCTGATCTTCAAAA